GTAGGAGAATGAAACTGTATCCTCATCTCTCATCTCATAATCAACTCAAGGTGGATTAAGAACTTAAATCTAAGACCTGAAACTATAAAAATTCTAGAAGATTACATTGGAAAGGCCCTTCTAGACATTGGCTTAGGCAAATATTTCATGACCAAGAACCCAAAAGCAAATGCAACAAAAACAGAGATAAATAAATGGGACTTAAAAGCTTTTGCAAGGAAAACGGAAGAGTTAGCAGAGTAAACAGGCAACTCACAGGATGGGAGAAAATCCTCACAATCTACGTATCTGACAAAGGACTCATATCCAGAATCTATGAGGAACTCAAACAAATTAGCAAGAAAACAATCTCATCGAAATGTGGGCTAGGGGCATGAATGGACAATTTTCAAAAGAAAATATACAAATAACCAATAAACATTAAAAAATGCTCAACAATGCTAATTTTCAGGGAAATGCAAATCAAAACTACAATGCAATACCCCTTACTCCCACAAGAATGGTCTCTATATATGTTTAAAAAAAAATGGATGTTGGTGTATTGCAATGAAAAGAAAAAACTTTTCACTACTGGTGGGAAGGTAAACTAGTACAACCACTATGAAAAACACTGTGTAGATTACTTAAAGAACTAAACTTAGAACTACCATTTCGATTCAGCAGTCCCACTGTTGAGTATCTACCCAGAAGAAAATAAGTCATTATACAAAAAAGATATTTGTTCACTCATGTTTATAGCAGCACAATTTGCAATTGCAAAATGTGAAACTAGCCCAAAATGGATAAAGTGTGATTTATACACACACATACACACACACACACAATAGAATACCATGCAGCCATAAAAAGGAATGGATTATTGTTATTTGTAGGAACCTCTATGGAACTTGAGACTATTATTCTGAATGAAGTAACTCAGGAATAGAAAACCAAACATTGTATGTCCTCACTCATTAGTGGTAGCTAAGCCATGAGGATGCAAAGGCATAAGAATGATACAATGGATTTTGGGAACTTCAGGGACAAGAGTGGGAGAGGGACAAGCAATAAAAGACTAGAAATTAGGTTCAGTGTATACTGCTTGAGTCTCACAAAACACCACTAAAGAACTTACTCATGTAACCAAATACCGCCTCTCCCTCATAACCCATGGAAACAAACAAACAAACAAACAAAAAAATGTAAGAAATTAAAAAATTTGTAGATAAAACTAAATGAATATAGAATGTTGGGGAAAGACAGACAATGAAAAAATAGTAACAGATTATATCATGTTTATAAAACTCTTATTTTCTGTGGTCAAAACTGATTGAGTTTGAATTGAACGGTTTGTAAGATTTTATTAAAATTAACTTTAGCATTAATAATACACTGATGTAAAGATAGAATTTGGTTTCCGTTTTTGAACAGGACTGTAATGTAGTATTAACATGAGCAAAAGAGTTTTGTTTACTTTTTGGAAATACTGCAAAAGAAAGAGTGGGAAATTTGCCTTATGCTGTCTTTTTTTTTGCTATAAAGATGCTTTATTAGGCCAAACTACTTACTATGAAAATGCTTTAAAATGCAGCAGGAGAAGATGTAAATGCAAAGAGTCCCTACTGACCAGAGGGCAATGCCTATAGAAAGCCTGCGCCTCATGTGCCTTTTGTCTATCACTGAGAATGGTTTGATCCCCAAGGATTACCAGTCTCTGAAAACACAGTATCTGCAGAGCTATGGCCCTGAGCACCTGCTAACCTTCTCCAATCTGCGATGAGCTGGGCTCCTAACAGAGCAGAGCCCTGGGGACACCCTCACAGCCGTGGAAAGTAAAGTGAGCAAGCTGGTGACCGACAAGGCTGCAGGAAAAATTACTGATGCCTTCAGTTCTCTGGCAAAGAAGAGCAATTTTCTTGCCATCAGCAAAAAGCTGAATTTGATCCCACACATGGATGGTGAGTATGATCTGAAAGTGCCCCGAGACATGACTTACGTCTTCAGTGGTGCTTACGTGCCCCTGAGCTGCCGAATCATTGAGCAGGTGCTAGAGCGGCGAAGCTGGCAGGGCCTTGATGAGGTGGTACGGCTGCTCAACTGTGGTGACTTTGCATTCACAGATATGACCAAGGAAGACAAGGCTTCCAGTGAGTCCCTGTGCCTCATCTTGGTGGTGTTCTTGGGTGGTTGCACATTCTCTGAGATAGTAGAAAAGTTAAAGGAAATCAATCTCTTCTTGCAGACTCAAGCAGTATCTCAAGAACAGTTAGTGCAAAGGGAGAATGATATTACTTCAGCAAAAATCACATTGCCACGTGTGTGCCTATGCAACAATTTTGCATGTTCTTCACACGTACTCCCAAATCTAAAACGCAATAAAATAAATAAATGGGGAAAAAAAAAAAACTCAGATGGAACTCAGAATCAAAGCTCTGGAATCTGAACTCTCCAGAATAAAGGCTTCGCAAGCTGATAATAAAACCGAATTGGAAAGATATAAGGAACTCTACCTAGAAGAAGCAAAAGTTGTAAAATCCTTGTCAAGTGAACTGACAAGAACCAATGAGATGATAGCAGAGGTCAGTACTCAGCTTACTGTGGAGAAAGAGAAGACCAGATATCCAGCCACTGCTTCTACTACAAGGCCAGTCCTAGAGTCACCTTCTGTTGGAAATCTTAATGATAGTGAAGGTCTCAACAGAAAACATATTCAAAGAAAAAGCAGGTCTTCAGATGAGAGCATAGAGAGCTTCTTGTTGAAGATGCACCAGAAGTTGGAAAATGATATGCCTATAGGAGTAGCAGCTGCTACTAAATGTGAACCTGGATCCCGTATAGCTTCTCTTCTAGGATTTACACATGAGGCAATTGTGAAGCAAGAATCAGTTTGGAAGCAGCAAAAGAATGTGCACAGATTTTGAACAGAAAATACATGAACTGAAAGATAAGGCAATTTTATTTCTGGGCTGTTCACATGATATTTTGTTTCCCATTAAATATATGATGCGAACATTTTTATTAAAGGGAAATATTTCATATTAAAAATGATTTTTTTCTAAGACATTCAAACATTTTATATATTATAAATGAATCCAGAATGTTCTATCAAATATCATGTCAAATAGTTGAATGTAGGTTATCTGAAACAAGCCTGTGTAACTTTCATCATCATCAGATAAAGGCACTTCTCTTTTTAGTAGCAACTCAAACTCCTCTGTTTCTGCTACATCCGCTGGATGCTCCCCATGTTTATTAGCTTGAAATGAATTTCCACCATGACGAAGTAACAGCTTTACTATATCTCTGTGCCCACTACTAGCAGAATCATGGAGTGGAGTGTCATCATCTAATCCTCGTGTGTTAACATCTGCTCCAGCTGCTATAAGTATCTTAGCAACATCATAATATCCAACATTGCAAGCTTCATGCAGTGGTGTCCAACCTGCAAAATCTTTCACATTCACATTTGTCCCTAAACTTCTTCTTTTTTTGCCACCACTGTTATATTTGCTTTTACTTTTTTATTAAAGAAATATTACAGATAAATATAACAACTCCCACCAAATCTTTTCCACATCCCAAAAGGCAACCAATGCATATATGGATCCATGACCAGTATATAGTACTGTTCTTTCCACAATGTTATTAAATTATACAAATATTATACTGGGTTCTGCTATGCATTTTAATTTTCTCTCAGTATTATATATTGTAATCTATCCATGTAAATATATGTAGATTTTGTTTCTCTCTGAATTCTGTATAGCATTTTATCACAGAAATCATCACATGTATTCATCTGTTCCACAATTGATACAAATTTGTTATATCCAATTTTGGGCAGTATAAACCATGATTCAGGAACACGGTAATCTGTATCTCTTTGTGTACATTTGTAGGTGTCTGTGAGGCCAGTACACCAAAATTCAATGGACTATTCCACATTTATGTGCTTTTAAAGAAATTCTGTTACCCTAAAGTAATACATTGTACTTTTATCATAGTTTTAGAATTTTGCTTTTTATATTCTGGTCTTTAGTTGGATTTTATTTTTGTATATAAGGAGAAATGCCAGATGTAGGTGATGGGGAGGAAGGCAGCAAATCACACTGCCATGTGGGTTCCTATGCAACAATTTTGCATGTTCTTCACATGTACCCCAAAACCTAAAATGCAATAAAATAAATAAATAAATGGGGAAAAAAAAAAAGAAACTGCCACAAAAAAAAATAAGGTAGAAAGCTAAAATTTTTCTCCTATGAGCCTTGCATTTCTTAAACAAGCCATTCATTCCTCAGTGATTTCAATAGCACTGTCAGACACAGAATTCCCATATCTGGTTGGATTTTTGTATCAATGCTTATTATCTTACTACTGCTTGATTTATTCACTAACACACTGCTTAAATGACAACAGCTTTAAATAAGTATGTGATATATCTAATATTAGAACGTGTCTTCTCCATTTTGCTTTGTCAAATTTGTTTCAGCTATTTGTGTTTATTTACTTTTCCATATAAAATTTTTGGATAAGTTTGTAAAGTTCTTTAAAATTGATGTAAACTTTGAGTGGAAGCATATTAAACTTAGAGATTTGGAAAAGAAATTATATTTTGACAATGTCAAGTCTTTTTAGACAAAATGCCATTTTCAGGTGTTCTTTTGTGTCCTTCAATATGTTTTGTAACTTTATAAATACCTCATAATTCATTGTTGTGTTTATTCTTAGGTTTTTTCTACCAACATATCTTCTAATTAACTATTTCTTGTACAAAAGTTACTTTTATAGTTCTTCATTGACTCTTGGTTTTCCCAATCTTGTTTTCCTTACTTTATACATTGGCCAGGAGCTCAAGTATTGTGTTGTTATGCTGATGGCAGATATCTTGTTTCAGATTTCAATGAGAATGCAGATTAAATATTATCAATAAGATATCTGCTGAAAGTTTCTGATAATCAGCTTTTTCATTATAGAATTTGTCACCTTGGCAGAATTATCTAATGCTTCATAAATTTGTGGTTTTTTCAGAAGGCTATTCCACATTCGTAGGTTTCTACTCTAGAAATGGTCATGTAATGTGCAATGAGGTGTTAATTCCTTCAGAAAGCTTTGCCATGTTCACATATTCATAGGGTTCTAATGAGTATGAATTCTCTGGTGTCTGACAAGGTGTGACTTCTGGCTGAAAGCCTTGCCGCACTCAATACAGTGATAGGGCTTCTCACCTGTATGTTTTCTCACATGAAGTGTAAGATGAGATTTGAGAGAAGGCTTTTCCACATTTACTACAGTCAAAGGGTTTCTCACCTGTATGTCCTCGTATATGTATAGTAAGGGATGAGCTTTGGGAGAAGGCTTTTCCACATTTATTACATTCATAGGGTTTTTTACCTGTATGGCTTCTCATGTGCACAATAAGGGAAGTTCTTTGAGAGAAGGCTTTCCCACATTCATTACATACATAGGGCTTCTCAACTGTGTGACTTCTCATACGTAAATGAAGCAGTGAGCACTGAGAGAAGGCTTTACACCATTTACCACATTCATAAGACTTTTCCCCTGTATGACTTCTCAAATGGAGGGTAAGGGATGCAATTTAAGAGAAGGCTTTATCACATTCATTGCAATCATAAGGTTTCTCTCCAGTATGAACTTTTTGATGTGTAATAAAGTTTTGCTTTTGGCTGAAGGCTTTACCACATTCGTTGCATTCATAGGGTTTCTCTCCAGAACGAATTTTTTCATGAGCAATGATATTTGATTTCTGGCTAAAGGCTTTCCCACATTCCTTATATATATAGGTTTTTTTCCTGGTATGAATTCTCTGGTGTCTAACAAGATTTGACATCTGTATAAAAGCTTTCCCACATTCATTACACTCATATGGTTTCTCTCTAGTGTGGATTTTCTGGTGTGTAATGAAGTTTTTCTTGTGGCTCAAGGCTTTTCTGCATTCCTTACATTCATAGGGTTTCTCACCAGTATGACTTCGCATATGTACAGTAAGTGCTGAGCTCTGGGAGAAGGCTTTTCCAAACTTATTACATTCATAGGGTTTTTCATCTGTATGAATTCTAACATGTATAATAATCACGGAAAACTGAGAGAAGGCTTTACCACATTTATCACACTTATAAGGTTTTTCTTCTGTATGACTTTTCACATGAAGAGCAAGGGATGCAATTCGAGGGAAGGCTTTACCACATTCATTACATGCATAAGGTTTCTCCCCAGTATGAACTTTCTGATGAGCAATGAGGCTTTGCTTCTGGGTGAATGCTTTTCCACACTCATTACATTCACAAGGTTTCTCTCCAGTATGAATTTTTTCATGATCAATGAGATTTGATTTCTGGCTGAAGGATTTCTCACATTCCTTACATGCATAGGGTTTCTCTCCAGTATGAATTCTTTAATGTCTAATGAAATTTGACATTTTAATGAAAGCTTTACCACATTCATTACATTCATAAGACTGCTCCCTACCATGAATTTTATAATGTTTAATAAGTTTTTCCTTGTGACTGAAGGCTATTCTACAGTTACTACATTCATAGGGCTTCTCTCCAGTATGAATTCTCAGATGTCTGATGAGGTCCAAAGTTTGATTGAAGCCTTTTCCACAATGATTACCCTTAAAGGGGGTAATGACAAAATGGGATGAGCTATTACCGTATGATTTCACAGGTTCATTATATTCACAATGTTCCTTTCCTATAAGGCATTTCACATTATTATGACAGTCAAAATTATGTTCTAAACACTTCCCAAATAAGTTATACTCATAGAGATTGTGTCTAGAAGGGAAAAAAATCAGAGTTCAGAGGAAACACATTTGCAAATTTCTTATGATAGTCATTACCTTTTTCTTCAGTCAGTGTTTTCTGGAATTTTTCTTCAACTTGTCTCAAAAGTGTGTCCTGGCTTTTCTGATGCTCATCAACTCCCCATATTTCTCCTTGCCAGTGTCTCCTTAATACTTCTTCCTCCATCACCCATGGTTCTTCTTCTCGCTCCAATTTGAAAATCACATCAGGTCTGATGAATGGATAGCCCACTGTGATTAAGTTGTTATGGTTTTCTAGCATCACGTTCCAGTACAGGTTTCTCTGAGCAGTATCCAATCGCTTCCACTCCTCCTGGGTGAAGTCAATAGCCACATCTTTGACTATCACTGTTCCCTGGAACTCACGCATTTCCTCTTCTTTCTGGGAAGGGATGGGGCCTGCAGAGGTAGAGCTTGTTTATTATCTGGTCCACAAAAATGTAAATACCATGATGGTAGGGGGTTAGTCTCTTGTTCACTGCTATATCCTGAGCACCTACGATTGTGCCTGTTACACAGACAGCATTCAGTAAGTGATGAGTCTATGAATGAATGAATTCTTAATATAGGAAGAACTCTTGCATCCAGAGTTTTTCATTCATTCAAGATCCCACTGCCACGCACGTTTGCATGCAGGTTCATACTGAAAAATAAAAGGGAAAGTACCTCCACGAAATCTGCTTACGGACACGATCCCGGGGCCACACGCAGCCAGACAAATATCTGGCAAATGACAGCCACTTCACGCCAGACACTTACAGTCCTTCACACGCCACTCCCACGGCCTCGGGGAACAGCTCAGGCATCGCCCTGCCCGTCCGCGGGCCCCCACTCCCACCAAGCACAAAGAGTCCATTGTTCAGAGTTAGCGGTTTCCCAAGGACTCACCACAGAGCCCGCGGACACAGGCCCCGACTCCACACCTAATGCTGCCCAAGTGGCACAGCCGGCGGGGGCTGGGGCGAGGCGCCTCTGAGGACGGCGCTGGCGGTGCCTGAGAGCGCCGCAAGCCTCGGTCCGTTAGACCAGGGGCAACGCTTCCCAGAAGCCCCCGCGGCTCCTTTTTTTTTTTTTTTTTTTTTTTTGCCAGAACAGAGACTCAAGACTCAAGCCAGGTTTAATGATCATTGCCTAGTTTTCAGAGCCCAGAGGCTCCAAGATTTGCCAGCCTAGGTGTACACAAGTGGGAGGAATGGGGTCTTGGACACGGGAGGCCTGCTTGATCAGCAGAACTACGAGGAAGTACAGAGGTAAGAACACACAGAAAACTGGATCTGTCTGCTTTGCTCTCCGCGGCTGGGGTGTACCCTCTCTTGGCCCCTTCCTTGGGCTCCATAAACACAGACAAAAACAAAATATGGATCACAGATAATTACACAGACAGATCGTAGAGCCCTGTCATACTCTGTCTCCAGGGACACTTGCTTCCTGGGAGACATGTGAGGTTTATGGGTGCAGGGTAGGGTGAGAGGAGGTGGTGATTTCTCGGCCTTTCCTTATACCCACACCTGGCAGTTTTCAATACAGGGTCCTAGTGAACTTACATATGCTGATTACTCAATTCTCCAGTTAAAAAGCTACCTTTGGGTTCTATATCTAAGATATAGAATTATTATTATTATTATTTTCCCATTTATTTATTTTATTGCATTTTAGGTTTTGGGGTACATGTGAAGAACATGCAAGATTGTTGCATAGGTACACACGTGGCAGTGTGATTTGCTGCCTTCCTCCCCATCACCTACACCTGGCATCTCTCCCCTTGCTATCTCTCCCCAGCTCCCTACCCCCACCATCCCTCCCCTATTTCCCCCCAACTGACCCCAGTGTGTAGTGCTCCCCTCCCTGTGTCCATGTATTCTCATTGTTCAACACTCGCCTATGAGTGAGAACATGTGGTGTTTGATCTTCTGCTTTTCTGTCAGTTTGCTGAGAAGGATGGTTTCCAGGCTCATCCATGTCCCTACAAAGGACACAAATTCATCATTTTTGATGGCTGCATAATATTCCATGGTGTATATGTGCCACATTTCCCCTGTCCAGTCTATCATCGATGGGCATTTGGGTTGGTTCCAGGTCTTTGCTATTGTAACAGTGCTGCAATGAACATTCGTGTGCACGTGTCCTTATAGTAGAACGATTTATAATCATTTGGATATATACCCAGTAATGGGATTGCTGAGCTCTTTATTACCAGAGAAGGGGGCGTGCACGTGCAGACCTGGTTCCTCCGAGCAGGCTGGGCCCCTTGCCTCGTCCTGTCTGTCAGTGAGTCCTGGTACCCTGCACAGGAAACCAGCGGCCTCTGGGAGGCTCGGACAGGCTGGCGCCCACTGTTTCCCCGCTCAGGGCTGGCTCTTCTCAAGGAAGCAAGTGCCAAGAGCCCCTGAGGAGGGGGACCCGGCCGACCGGGCCTCCTGATGGCAGCTGCGCCCCAGAGCTCAGCACTTCACCAGCTTCCCGGCTTGCAGTGGTCAGGGAGCGCACTGACCCCACTGACTGGCACGTTCAGTTCTGAAGGAACGCAAACTGTGTGGGTGCGCTGGCAACAGTGTGCTGTTTCTACAACCAGACAGCTTCTTACACTAAATTTGTGTCCAAACTAACGCGTGGGAAAGGGCTCTGCTCTGGCGCAGCTCCTGGGTCTGTCCGGCCAGGCAGCGGCTCTACCCGAAGAGCCTTTAAGTCCTGGGCAGCCGCCCATCCTTGCTGGACAGGGCGGTCTGGATGTGCTCATAAGTGCGCAGGTCGGTCAGGTCACCCAGGGCTGCCACTGCCGGCTTCCCTCGGAGCATCTTAGAAGCAACTCTCTTCACATCTTCGGCTTCACGTCGCAGATGAGCGTGCACAGCTCGTGCGGCAGCTTTCTGGAGCGAGTGGCCAGCACCTGCCTCCCCACGTCCTCGAAGATCACGGGCCTGGACTCCAGGTTCATCATAAGCATGAACGTCAGCTGCGTCTTGGCTCGCTCCAGCTCCACCTGTGGGAGCTGTTTCCCGGCCCCACAGTCATCTCGAAGGGGCGCCTGAGGAGGACCCCAAACTCCTCTAAGCTTTTCCTTAGCAAAGCCAAAAGCTTTTTTTTTTTTTTTTTTTTTAAATAAATTTGCCTTATTATAAGTGTATGAAGATCTTAATGTCACTGGGCAAAATAGCCATTTATTAGAATAGTTCAAATTCACTCTTGTAACAAAATAAACCACATTCTTACAAGACGCAGGAGAAACGAATGCAGGGACTTAGGAATGCTATATACTTGCTTCTCTTCAACTTAAGCAGCAAAAGTTGCAAAGTTCTCAAGATGCTCCTGACACTGTTGTCTTAAGCAACAGAATCCTGGAGAGTGTGGGGGTCTGATGTTTGGGCCTTCAAGTTTTTCTCAAGGTGTTTCATCTTCTCAGCTCAGTCTCGATGTTCTCGGTGAAACCATGCCAGGCACAGGAGCATGCTCTTCACCCGATTCTGTACACAGGGCCGCCCAAAAATGGTGATTTCGACTAGGTTCCCAGAGTCCGCTATGTCCACTGTCAACAGGGCCTGGCTCGTCCACTCCATTTCTGGAGTTATGGCTCGGTCTGGGCCAAAGAGCGCGTCTGCCAGCCATGCCTCCAGGTAGAACACCAAAGGGTTTCTCAGTTCCTGCCTTGGAAACCACCAGGGCCAGATTCGAATCTGTGGAGGCGGAAGCGGTAACCTAGGCAGCTGCTCCAGGGACTGGGTCGGGGTCCGTTTGCCTCGCTGGGACTCGGCAGCACCAGCGTCATCGACCATACTGGGACCAGCAGCCGCGGAGCGGAGCGCTCGGCTAGGGGCGGCTTGCACGTGACCTCCTCCAGAGGCCCCCCCCCCTTTTTTTTATTTTACTCTACTAGGCTAATCTTTTATTTTGCTGATATCTTTCATACTCTAACACTAAATATTTTTTCTCTCTAGACAAGTGTACCTTAAACTCGAATGTACATATACATCTGGAAATCCTATTAAAATGTGTGTTCTGATTCAGTAGGTTTGGCGTGGGAGGACTGGGTCTGGGATGGGTACCCTTCTTGTGGGCAAAATTCGGAGGGGTACCCAGACAGGATCATAAACACATTCAACATCCTGCCCTCGCCCAAGGTGTCAGACACCGTGGTGGAGCCCTACAATGCCAGAGTGGGTGGAATGAAGAAAGATAAAAAATATCTTAGAAAAAAAAAATGCCGCATAGTGGATCTTGTGGGGCCGGCAGAAGCTCACCTCCAGCCAGCTGTTGATGTGAAGCCGAACCACGCCCGATGTGCACAGGCACCAGCCATGGTGACACCTCATCCCGGAGCGCCAGGGTCAGCTTGGCCACCCGGGTGAGGTACTGGCCGCGGCGCTCCTCGTGCTGCAGCACGGTGGCAATACGACGGGACAGCTTGTGCAGACAGTTTATCACTGATGGGTCTGCGTTGGCCTGGAATCGCCATCCTGGTCCTCGGCATGGCCGCCAGTGTTGTTAACAGCGTATCGGCTAGGTGGCTTATTTGTCTGGGACGCCGGGTGCTCCTGGCTTCTCTAGAAGGGGTACCTGAACAGCAGCTTATTGTCCCTGCTCCCGGAGCTCACCAGAATCACGCTGACGGGGCTGGTGTTGTCCACCATCCTGCCGAGGGGCTGGGGCTGGGGGCGTAGGTGGAGGGGGCCTGAGGAGGACGGGGGAGGAGGAGGGGGAGAGGAAGGGTCGGGGGCGGAGGGGGTCTGAAGAGGACGAAGGGGGAGGGGGAAGGGGAGGGGCGGGGACGAAGGGGGAGGGGGAAGGGGAGGGGCGGGGACGGAGGGGGCCTGAGGACGACGTGGGAGGGGACCTTTTTTTTTTCATTTGTACTCTTTGCAACTTCATTTTGATATCCCTTTAACAGGTTCTAATCTTTTGTTGCACAGGCAATAAAAGCTGCAAGACTGCAAACTTCCTTCAACAGCCACACCCACAACACCTAGACATGAAACAGATGCATCAAATAACAATACCACAAACAAATACTAATTTCCACCATTCAACACAGTTCATGACAGTGTCTTTAGGGTTCGGTTGAAGCTCTTTGTATTTGCATTTCCTTGACATCAGGAGCAAAGCAGATGAAGCTGAGTGTCTGGCATGTTCTTGACACTTTGGTCTTCCGCCTGGCACTGGCTCTTCTAAAGGACTTTTGGAGGGCAGATATATTTAATCTGTTTAATCCAACACACATTTCTTTCAGGGAGAAACAATGTCGCCAAATTTTCAGAGTTCTAAACTCCTTTCCTTCAAGCTGGGATTTTCCTTTAATCAGCACCAGTAGGTACCAAGTCTCCAGATGAGGAAATGACTAAAATGTGTTTTTCTGCTTTGTTTCTGAGAACGGTTTCCAGTCAGGACTCGCTGTACCAATAGCCATGGAGGAATATAGGAGGGTGTCGTTCTCCTTGTAGGCTGAAGTGAGTCTGACTTGAAAGGGGCTGGTTTGGATCTAAGCAGACACCCAAATGGGGGTTCTCCAGTCTCAGTGAGACTTTTCCTGTGGGGATTCACAGTAAACAGGAACCCAGAAATCTCATCTTGGTTGTCTTCAGGGCTTGTTTTAAGTTTTGCTGAATAGGGAGCACTGAGATGCCCTGAGCTTCTCTCTTTCCCTGGTGATGATCAGAATCACGAAACCATTACATTTCAAGAGGATCGTTTTTCCTTCCGCAGCACTTCTTACTGGCCCTGGCTGGAATTTGCCTTTTATCACAGCTGTCACCATTTTCACATGGTTCTGGTGAGACTCTTTTTGTTTATAATATTTAATATTTAGACTATTTTACTGAGCAGACTTTATAAATGAGATATCTGCAAGGCACTTAAAGTGTTACAGACGTCTTAAGAATTATTTAAGTTTTGTTGGGTTAAGACAGTTTTCAGTGTACCATAAATGTTGTGTTTTCAGAAAAAGACAAAACGATGGTACCAACTGGCTTTCTGTATATTGCACAACAGTCCTCAAATACATGAAACTATTAATACATCAAGCAACGTTTTTTTCACTCTCTTTAGAATTGGAACTATGCAGTTAAGGTGGATAAAATGTACAGATGTTTCATATGTTACAGGTTACATATATAAATCAAAATGTCCTATATAAAACTGATTTGGGATTTGGGGTGGAAATATTTTGAGATTTACTACAGAGAGTAGTAAATCTCAAAAGTTATATGGAGAGAAATATGTTAGAACGTGGTGAGATTGACTTTTTTTAAAAATTCAATTAACTTTATTTAAATTAAAAACCAATTCTTAAAACTGCATTTAGAGTCAAGACCCTTTTGTATTATAAAAATCACAAGTATTTTTAAGAGTCAAAAATAATTCTAGGTTAATTAGACTGGATCTGACTTTGCAGAGATCTAAACAAACTGCTGAGACTAGAGAAAAAAATAGATTATTTACAGAATAATTATCTACATATGTACTTAGAGGCACAAATTTGGTGACAGAAAAGACTTCAGTATATGTTGGCATCTCAGAAGCAGTTCTCAAAGAGCTTAGTTTTATTTTCTTGAATTTTGAGAATGCCTGAGATCCTTCTTCATCCTCGATCTTGGGAACCAAGTAGTACTTTAAGTTTCCCATATCAGCGATTTTATACTCTACAACAAGGGATGCCTCTGCAGACATACTGAGTGTCACTGTTGAAGAGAGTGGAGTGGCTTTTGTGAAGAAGTTCAGGTACCTCAGTGCAAAAGTTAATTGAACTGGTTCATTCACCTCTATGGTAACAACTTCCTCCTCTTTATCGACATTACTTGTCTGTGACAATTTAATGTTTCCATTTCCAAGTTCTCCACTTGCAGAAAATTTCACTCCGTCTTTTGCACAGGAAATTACAACAGCATCTCCAATATATCTGAGATCTCAGCATATATGAGCAAATTAACCAGAAGGCATCTTTACCACACAGCTGTACTCTTGTTCTGGAGTTCCAAGTTGTTCAACATCCAAATCCATCAACTTCATTTCACAGTCTGAAACCTCCTTGTTTGGTGCTTCAAATACTAGCACCAAGGTATCTGCATTATCTTCAGTCCTTAATGTAATGATATCTTCATTGCCAGCTCATTTTAGTATTTTGGACATACTGGTGAGGTTCACGTCCATGGCCAGGTCGCAGTCGCAGCGGTATGTGTCAAAGCCCTCAGACTGCAGCGTGAGCTGCACCAAGGAGACATGGGGTGAGTCCATGCTCTGTAGGTTTACGTCACTCGAGCTGATGTCCCAGCAGGCCTCGTTGATGAGGTCCTTGAGTGCCTCCAACACCTTCAGGATGGAGCCCTGGACCAGGCGTGCCTCGAACATGGTGGCGGAGTGGCACCAGTGCGGCTACAGGCAGGCGGGAAGAAGCAAAGTCTAGCGGGTTTTGGCTTCAGGAGCCTCAGAGCGAGCGGGCAAACGTCCAGATTTTATTGTCTTGGTCAATATCCTCGGGGAAATGAGAGGCATAGTGTGAGGCTGGTCACAGGGCAACACAGACCTTGAGGAGCTGCTTTGAGGATCGGCCTTCCCAGATGGCTCTGTTAAGCCAGCAGCCCCCTCACTCCCGCCCCTGTCATCTTGACAGATGGAGCTGTCATGGTTTCAGGGACACTTGGCATGGCATCTGGGTTGGTCCCTCCCACATGGACCTTGTAAAGTTGCTATTCAGGGGAACCTGGTATCGTTTCAGGCAAAACGCAGAACCATATTAGCATTTTTAAGCCCCTTGCCCGGAACATCTCCTTGGAACATTTGGGTTTGTTGCACATTCCAGGAAGGAGCAGCGGCACAGCTGCAGCCACAGCTGCCAGGAACAGGCCTGGGCTCCCGCCCTATGTCGGGGGAGGGCAGAGGCTGGAGCCTATGATTTCCCATCACCAGAATGGGACACGATAACTCCTGAAGCCAAGAACTTGATCAACCAGATGCTGACCATAAACCCAGCGAAGCACATCACGGCTGACCAGGCTCTCAAGCACCTGTGGGTCTGCCAACAATCCATGGTGGCATCCATGATGTATCGTAGGAGACTGTGGAGTGTTTGCACAAGTTCAACGCCCAGAGAAAACTGAAGGGCGCCATCCTCACGACTATGCTCATCCCCAGGAACTTCTCAGCTGCCAAAAGCCTACTGAACAAGAAGTCAGATGGCAGTGTCAAGATCCCACTGAGTGCAAGAGTCTCGAGCTTTCTTGATGCATAGGCTCCTCAGAAAAAGACAAGGGCCATTGTGGATCACGGCTTGTTCCCACTGGGTGAGGGAGCTTTTACCGTGGGACTAGGGCAAGAGGAGGGACCTGGGACCCACCAGGAGCTCTGCTGGGAGTGGCTGCTTGGCCAAGGTAGAGGAGAGGTGGCTGGGGCTGCCCACAGGGCCCAATACATAATGTAGATACTTTGGGAGCAGAAAGGATCCTGGGGCTAGGGCCTGGGTAGGAACTCATGCTATCTTGAAACCTCCAACTTATAATCTAGAAATTTTCGCTGGGCCTTTTCCCAGGATCTTGTGTCCACAGCTGAAATGTACACACATGCCCCGTTCCCTCCCCACTCCCTCCTCTTTCCTTCATTCTCTGCATGCCTGCTTCTGTGTCTTTTGCCCCTCGCAGGGGAGCTTGAGCTCCGCACACACACCCTCTGACATGGAGCTGGGGGTATCATGCAGTCCCCAAGCTCTGCCTCTGAGCTAGATGGATGGAACCAGGTGAGGAAAGGGGGCAAGTTTAGTTGGAGAGAGTGTTTAATAAATACCTGTCAA